TGTGAGAAGCAGAATATGATGGCTACAGAGAACTGAATCTGATGTAAGACTCAGTTTGCTATAGAGGTTGTATAGAGAACAGTGGCTCTCAAGTGTTGAAAAATTGTAGAAAAGAGTTCCTTAAATCTCGAATTTTGTCTATTCCTCCTTTATAAACAGTTCGCAATTGAACATCAAAAACATTGAAACCTTTTTGTATGACCCTTTCCTAATAATTGTCATAAAAAATGGTGAGGAGGGGGACTGGAGGCCTTAAATCATTATCTTATACGCTTTTTWAAAAAAATGTTTGTAGTCATTTCTATGTACATGCATACACTGATYGTAGAAATCTGTTGGAAAAATATGGAATGACATATTTCATGAAACACATTTTTTCATGAAGGACCTTGATAGTTTGAATAGAGCATTTTACTGGAACCCCAGATTTTAATTATACTGACTTCCAGGCTGAAGTTCCTGACATATTAAATAAGCTGCACTAAGTTTTGCCAACTTCGAAGACAAAGGGGAAACCCTGCATGTGCTCAGATAAAGCTATCCTTTTCATGGGTAGAAAGTTACTTTATAGCTTCTGTGTTTATCAGATCGAACTGTTAAATTCAGGTTCAGCAGAACTAAAGATACTTGGCTATTTTCTCCAAAAAAAGTGAATATCTTCATTTAATAGCCATGATGAAATGCCTGTAAGATTACAGGGTAATGGAAAAAGAGATAGGAGCTATGATTGTACCAGCCTCGTGTTCTGGAGTGCTTTAATCTTTCTGAAACTTGACTTCCAAATTGCAAATGGTTAAGCAGCTTTAATTCCTACCATTTAAAAAATTAAATTCTTAATGCCTATTTCTTCTTATTAAGAGCAGTAAATGCATATAGCTTAGCAATTTCCAGGCCTATTTGAAAATTAATGGGGTGAGAAGAATAAGTACTCTGAAAATAAAGAATGTAGGGTGTTGTCAGAGAAACTTCTGGGCAACAAGGAGACCTCAGACTTCAGCTGAAGTATTCTTTCTGCTATTGCTGATGAAGCAGTCTTCCCTGACAAACAGTTTCTTATAGCTGAATAGTCTAAAGCAAGATTCATGCTTGTAGTTAGAATATGCTAAAATAAGGTTCTCTCTTTTGCAGGAAAACAGAAAGCAACTTAAGTARTAAGCCCAGTATCTATCTTAGCACATGTAGACTTGTATGTACGTGGGTGTGTGAAAATGCACGTCTTTCTRATAATTTTTATGTTTCCTAAGTAATGACAGCAAGTTGATCTCTGTTGTCAATGGTTCTCAATTTCAGTATTGTTGTCATATGCAGTTTCTTACACAATCCTTAAAACACAAGTGTGTAACTGGACTTTTAACTACCTTCTGGTACTGTGCTTGAAGTACAGCGTTCGTCTTTTTTAAGAAAGAATTGGGGTTTTTTTAGGAAATCTGTGCCAAGACTTGGAAAAGAGGAAATAGATCACAGCAGGAAAATAACTGAAAGAAAGAAACAAGCATTTTATGTATGTGATAAGCTTTTAAGGTTCTTTTAAGTTTTTCCCCAGTGGTTATCCTGGCATTTCTTTTAATCATTGTTCTATTTGTACTCCCTATAGAGTATTACTAGCATGGGAATTTTGGGTCATGGGATAATCCTTACACTCCCTTCATTATTTAAAACAGAAAAAAAAATAGCAATGATAAATTCAGCAAGATATTATAAGTAGCTGTCCTGAGATGTGCCTACCTGTAACTTAAAGTACCTGAAATCAAAATCTCAGTTGCATACTACAGCCTGTTCACAATTTGTTGGGTATTTTAAATAATTAAGTGCCATAAGTTTTAAGTGCCATAAAGTTTTTCTGAGTGAAGCTAACCTAGCTTAAAGAATTTGGTTTAAAGTGGACYGTCTTCCTTCCTTCACCTACTTTTCCTTCTGGTTCTTCATAGCTGGAAAACAATGCCTGTAATGACAAAATAAAGCCTAAACAGGGAATTGAAGCAAATAGTCCTGACAAAAGTGAAGACTCCTATCTAAAATGTCAGCCTGTATCTTGTGCATCTCTTCAATATCAGCCTGTATCTCATTCATCTCCTCTTACTTGTCCATGCTGAGGCGAAGAGAGTAGGCACTGAGGTGGTAGACAWCAGCTGGAACACTGTTGTGTAGAGGAGTAGGAAAGGTGTTAAAGGTTCAGAAAAATCTGGAAGATTGGGGTGTTCAGTGGCTGTGATGGCATTAGGAACTGAGGCCATCAGCTGAACTTAAGTCCAGTTTYTGTTGTAGTTTCTTGCTGTTTCAAAGTGTCTGTAGCAGAATGGGGGTATGAAAAGGAGATGTGAGATGGGGTAGAAGGATTGACAGCTTGATGTTAGCCATGTTTAGCTTGTGCTGGCTGACAGTTCATTAGAAAATTCCTGTGAGAAAATGCCTGAGATGAAATATAGTTGTTACCAGATACAGCAGATGTAGTAATTTTTAAAATGTAATGAGCAAAGATTATCTTATAAGAGCATGCRTGTATTCCACTTTGCAATTTGAAGGAAATAAATTAATCTGATAAAACAGTTGTTAGAGAATGAATTGAATCAGCAGTTCTATTCCCAGCAAGTCTRTTGAGAAGTTTCAGGTTTTTTTCAAAGCTTATATAGAAATGTTGTATCACTGAATCTGCCATTAAGGCAGCTCTGGACATAYTAGGTCAAAGCAAGGATTGTTTTAAAATTCACAGCTGAATGTGTTTCTCCTTATTGTCAACCCAGTTAAAAGAAAAGAATGCTTGTCCTGTTTATTAAAACCTATTTGTGGGACAGTGTGTACCTGTAGAGCACTTTGTATGGCTTTCTATCTCTAGATAAAGAGAAAAGTTCTTATATCAGATTAGGTGAATTTTCATTGGTTGGATTTCTACTGTAGACTTCATGCTTTCTTCTTAAGGTTTCATTCTTTCCTGAGGCAATCATCCCATCAACTGAATGGGACAACTGAATAGACAAGAGTTGTATAAATGAAAGCAGGAAGTGGTTTTGTACTTAGAGTCCATCATAATGTAAATGTTTCTCTGGAAGATTTCATTCAGGTCATCTCAGCTAGTGTAACTGACTGCTACCCGAGTGTTTATTGTTACMTGTAATCATGTGAACCTGCTTCAAGGACTGAACTCTTTGCTGCAGATTTGCTTCCCTTCCCTTCTTGGTTTTGCTCCACAAATATGCTCCTGAGGTAGAAGCTGTTGTCTGAGGACAGAGCAGTTATGTCTGCCACTTTGTCATCAGGCAAATTAAGCTGTGTCAGCCAAGTGTGTATTTATGTATTTTTTCTAAGTTACTGCCTTTCTTGGTTCTTGAAAATATGTCTGCTGTGAATTCCCTAGACATCGTGGGGCTGCTGAATTCCTTTGGCAAGTCTGAAGTTTGTGAAAAGAGCTTGATTTTTTTTTTATTCCTGCCCCACTTTAATGCAATTCATTTCCTTGGACTCCTCTTGGGAAAATTCAGCTGTTCAGCTGGAAGGGTAGCTTTAGACAGCAACTGTGAGTCGGCTGTGCCTGTCATGCTGGGTTTTTTTATGGAAACAGGTCTCCCTTGAGTATTGACTATTCTGTTGAAACAAATAATACATTATCCAGAAATTTWGCATTTCTGGTTTTCTGATTATAAAGTGTCTTGACTCTATGATTCTGAACTTGGAAGGAAATGRTGTGTTGAGACTAGCAATTTGTAACTTCTTTTGTTTTGAATATTATTGTATACAATGGAAAAGGCAGTTCAGTAAGGTGATATTCCCTGAAGTAGAATTAGTGATTTTCTTGGTAATTTCGAGTGCTTTTGGATAACTTGCTTTACATCAGAGGTATTTCTAACTGTTGAACTGTCTTGAGAAGTCTTTTCTGGGACATAACTCAGAAAAATGTGTACGTCTGTCTGTTCTATCTAGCATATACCCTAAATTTGGAATAGGTCTCAGATTAAATGAGAAATTAGTATGTTTAAAAAACAAAACAAAAGTTAGGGCTAACAGCAGTCAATTGGACTAATACCAATTAGTAATGCCTTGATTTTCTTCAGAGTGCTCCTCCTGTTCTCTTGAATCAATACCTATAAGCAAATAATGTCTTGCATTGGTGTGATCACTACAATCTAAACAAKATAAAAGAAATGGAATATTTTTTAGAAGCAGAAAATTTGTTACTGTGATACTCTTTAACAATGTGGAGTGTACAAATTCTAGTACTTATGAATATTTCTGAGATAATTCACAATTAATGTTCTTTTATGGAAAATAATTTCAGGCATTATCATGCTTTTTGCTTGATTACTACCAGGAATATGATGTTGTATGTTGTGTCATTAATATAAWTTCATATATGTATAAATTTCCCCATCCTAGAAAACTGAGGATGAACTTTCTGKATTATAAAACAGAAATACTGTATTTCTATATATAATATAAATCTTATATTTGTGGTGTCCCAGTTTGTGCCTAGTCTTTGGACTGGGCTAATAACTGGTGTTYAGATAGCTCTGTGTCTTTCAGAGACATCCCTACAGTTTCCATGACAAATTGACCGTTGCTAACCATCTTTTCTGCTCCAATTATGAGACCTTTCAGTTTCTTTTTCTGAGAGTGTTTTCTAGCCAATTTACTTAATTTCTGATGCTAAGAAATGTTCTGTGGATTGTTGGAAATGTTCTGTGGAAATGTTRTGAGCCCATCAGCCACAGTGAATAATTCATTAACAGATCACAAACTGAAATAATTTGCACAGTTTTTCAAACAATTTTCTTTTTAAACAACTTCTAACAGAAAATAGAGCTATAGTTGTGAGATAGGTATTTGGCACTGGTCTGGAGCTTTTATGTATAGATAGCTTAACTCTGACTAGTTCTAAGAATTCTRAGAAAAAGTTGTGTTTCTAGTGTGTCACACTAGGTTGTTACACTTCAAGTTCGTCAAGTAAATATAAGTTAAAAAACCTCCATGTMTCTTTCACCTCAAATATTATTTTTTTTCTTTTACAGTCTAGGGACTCCATCARTTTGGATGACCTGAAGGCAGAGGTGTCACCACGAATTTCAGCAGAAGATCTGATTGATTTGTGTGAGTTGACAGGACCTAGTCATTCCAAAACACCTGTGAAGAAAACAAAGCCTAGTAAGCCAAAGCTGCTGGTGGTGGACATCCGTAACAGTGAAGAGTATCCTTCAGATCTGAGTGCCAACCTTGCTAAATCATGCTTGTGTCGATTMCTTCCTTACTGTGTGCAGAATGATATGTTAGAATGGTACATAATGGAAAGTGAGGGGTCTGGTAGAGGTGGAGTGGAGGAGCTGAAGGCCATGGGGGTTTTGGCATGGAGAGGCCTGGTTTGCAGAGAAGAGGACAAATGAGTTTTTTGCCTTCCCATATTGATTTTTGGGTTTAGTGAAATCACTTTGYACTGGTAGCACAAGTGCTTTAATGCTATCTTTGGCTTTGTAACAGGTGTTTTCAGCAGCCCTTCCCCATTTACTATGACCAATATATTGAAAAGGTGTGAGGCTCTCAAATTAAATGGAAGGAAGATAGAGTTGATAGCTCATGTGCTTTCCCAGCAGCAAATTGGTTCCTGYTGAGTGTCTTCTTGCTGTGTCAGATAATGCAACCATGCAGCCAACCTAACCTAAGTCCTCTAGTAGGTAATAATCAGAAAAGTCTTAAAGGTATTTTGGCGCTTGTATTTAGCATGGCCACTACCCTGTCTGTACTTTATCATGTGTTCCTTTTGAATACATAGTTCTTTGCATRTAGAATATTTTTCTAATTGTTTCAAGAGGCAGTTTATCTGAAGTAGTGTAGTTACAGGACTGGGATTGTTTGCAATTTGGAAGGGATAGTTCTTCTTAAAGATGTGCTTTTCCAGGAGTACACATCTTGGTCAACATCCATCTAAAATTGGGAATAACAACAACATCTTATTAGAGGTAACTCTTAACATTGCACCGAGTGTTTGGGAATATACTMGTTATTGGTTTGTTTCATTTCTGGTAAGTATTGCTCATTTTGTAGTAGCAAATGTGATGTAGATTTGGGGGGTTTTTGTAGTCTACTTTTAGCTTGGTGTGTCACAAGTGATTATTCTTAGTGGGCAATCAATTCTCAATAGAAAAATAAGAGAAGACTGAGARTTTAGSCTGGAGAAAAGGAGGCTGAGGTAAGGACYRTATCACTCTCTAYACTACCRTGGTGGTGGCTKGGTTAATGGTTGGACTTAGTGATATTAGAGGAATTATCTAACCTTAGAAATTATATAATTCTATGAGTTTTAGTCCACTTTTTACTTTGAGAAAGGAAAATTATTCCTTTTACCAGTGTCTGGCTTATTCTTAGAGGTTTCCAATGATGSAGATTCAACAGGCTCCTGACAGCTTTACCATGCAAAATAGTCTTTAGGTGTCTAATAAATGCACCATGAGGACATTTCCCATATTATATGTGTATTAAAAGAGTGCAGTTTCTCTACAATTCAGTGAATGATGGACCAATGCCAGTATTTGGGCTAAAATATGTAGTCAAAATTTAAATCAGGTGTAAACATCATTTTTTCACCTAGTTTGTTAAAATGCCACTCTAGAAGTTATTGAATGTGAGAGCAGAGCAACACCTCCACTAACATTTTTTCTATATTATAATATATTTTCTTTATTATAACTTACCAACATTTGTGAAAATGTTTGGTGATGTAGAAAAGTAATTATTCTTTCTCCTGTATAATGGTAAATTTATTATTTACATAGTAAATAAAATTTTGTAATATTCTAAATTAAAACTGTTATTTTCAAGAAATTATTCTTTTATTGTATGCCAGATTTGAACCTGTAATGTGATCTGCTGTGTAGATAAAACAGAATGGTCAGAGGAATACAAAAAATTTAATTTTTCTTTCACTTACATTTTCATGCAAGGTATTATTTTCATGCATCAGTTAAGGATTCTAATTAAGTAGAGATTCATGTGTCTGAGTAGTTTGACTCCTTATTTTCTGGTCTCCAGTGTTTTCTCTACTCTTGGATCTAGATTATTGAAAATGAGGTCCTTATTATTCAGATAACAGTAAAAAGCAGGTAATTTTTTGAGAGAAAATTTCTTCATCAAGAGAGAATACTTTTTAGACTCCGATTTAATTTAAAAGAGAAGTCTCTGGAAGTAAAGCTATAAAAGGTTATTGTTACTGCATAGAAAGCTTTGATACTACTGATTTAAATTATGTTTTTATTTCTACATGCATTATTGTGTTACTAATTATTTAAGTTAGTTCTCAGAAATCACCAAGGAGAAAGCAGAAAGAAAGCAAGTAATATAAAATGCCTAGCCTACAATCATTKCACTGAAAGGCTATTACCTGTGTAAGATAATGGATTTATTTATAAATTAATTAATCAGCCTGTTATCACAATGAAAGGCAAGGTGTCTGCTTTAATGTTTCTGTAGTTTTTCTAATAGCTTGATGATAGRTTCTACTCCGCTGTTATATTGATCYTATTCTACTSTAGCAGAYTGGATTCAAAATTTCAATCATTTCAAAATCATTTGACTTCTGTAAGTTAAGTGGTTTTATGAGGCTATTTTTCATATCATGAATTTCTTAATCAGACTTTTTATTTCTATTTCTTGAATGAGGAGCCATCCTGAAGAGACRAAATCTCCATTAGCTTGAATAGTGAACTTTAGTCACTTCTGCAGATGTTTTGGTAAATTTGAAGTTTATGGTTGACTAAAATGTGCTGACCTTTAAATAATGGGAGGACTCAAATTCTAATACCTCTCTGGTATTAAGAGGTAGGAAATGTCATGAAAAARGAAGCCTGGTAGGTAGTAAAATTGCCCTTGAGTGCCCTGGTTTGTATGTCAATTGCAGAGGAACRTATCTGGTAGAAAGCTGTTAAACTGTCAGAAATTGTTAATATACGTGGGAAACTGTAAGAATACCACGTTCAGTGTCCTGTTCATCCTCACAAGGAGGAAACAGGCTTTGTGGCTGTCACAAAGTGTCAACAAACTAGGATAGGATCAGTCTTTGTGTAGGTTACTGTGGTATGTATTCTAAAATGTGACTGACCATTGTGAGGTGTTACAAATATGTGATCATTTTGTATATTTTGGTTTTAGTCTTTTCAGCATTAATGCCTGTCATGCTAAACTCCACTTTCACTTTGTTTTCTAAATTATTTGAGAAAGCAGGACATGCTTCCAACAAGTATCAAAAATGCTTCATGTTTCATAAGACGACTCACATGAAAGCTGAGGGATTGTTTTGTAATGAGTCTCACATTGCAAGGCCAAGAGCTACCAACCCTCTTTCCCAGTAGACAGCTTTGTAACAGAAGGCTTTTTAATGAAAAGCTATTATACACAAAGCACTATTTCAGTTGGCCAGCAATTCTCTGAGGCTTGTTTCATTAAGCATGTTAGCAGATATATTGGCAKTCTTCCATTCATGTTTTGAAAGTTAGACCTGCATACTTGTGGTCTCTCAGTCTGTAGCACAAACTCTTGGCTTTTTTGTTAATTGTCTTAGCAATTAGAAGTTTTTTTTGAACACTAGGTCATATTTCTCTCTCTCTCTGAGCAGCTAAGTGTACTCAGTAGTTTAAGTAACTAAATTTCTCCAAAGTTATTTTCTGTCTAAATGATGATGATTTCAGAACCTGATCAATAGCAGTGGGAATTGCGTGGTTATAAATGGGGTTGGGGAAAGGGGATTGGCACAGATGAGTGAAGGAGGGATATAGTTTTCCCATTCAGAATAGAAATAAACTGACAACATTAATGAATGGTACATGATCATCTGTTGTTCTTCCAAATRTTTTTATATAGCTGTGTTTTTCCCACACTGTAACAATGATCATGAAACTGAAACTGTTACATGAATAATGAGAAATGAATGCTAGTATTAAGCTTAGTCTGTTAAATCTTACCTCCATTTAAGGCAGCTCCTTTATTTAATRGGATTCTGGGATTCAATTATAAATTGAACTAGCTTTCTGCATGTACAGCAATAGAGTGACTGATCTCGATATTTGACATTGTGTGTATTTTTGCAGAACTTTGCTGTTACCCATTTCTTCAAAGCTGTTTTTGCTTATAGCTGGAGAAGGGGAATGTTCCAGGCATGGGTGTACAGTCTGAAAGTAATTCARTTTTGTCAAGGTCATGGTCCATTCTCACATTCATAAAAAGCTAGGTAGTAGTAGTCCAACTTAATTTTTATTTAAGAGACTTTCACATTCAGTATTTGTCTATAAAGTCTCATTGAATGATCATCTTCTGAAACTGAAGGACCATAACTGTGACGTCTCAGAGTTGTTTGCTTTCAATACCCATTACACGTGTTAGTGGGACTGCAAATAATATACCTGGTGCTCATTGTCTGGGAATCTGAGGTCATATACATTAGAATTTCCATTTGGATCAAAATTGTARAGGACTCGTGGGGGTTGACAGGAAGTTTGAGGGCATTTCCCAATAATCCCTGTGTAGTTTTGGTTCTCATYTTAAGTACTCCATTCCTTTTGCATAGCATGCCTCTAGAAGAGTTGCTCCAGCTGCTTATTGATATTTGGCTCCTGTTAGCAGACTAGAGTTGAAGTGAAATCCACAAAATTAGATATACTGGGGATATTGGCTCTTTAGCACCAAGTGTTTGATTTAGCAGATCGTTTCCTGTAGCGCTGTGCTGTGTCCTTTTTGAACCAAACATTTCTCCATTCTGTGCTGTCTTTCCTATGTAGTGTCAGAAGGTTTTTCTCCATACAAGTAAACAGTAAATGAGGTTTGTTAAAATACTCTATCACAAAAGACCAGTGTGGTTGTGTCATGGCAGCCAGGATGAAGAGTAGGTTCATTTTGCAGCTATGAATGTACCACAGGTTTCTCTGCCTTTCAGACCTCCTTAACTGATTCTCCTAAGCTTTAACCGTGGCCACATTTCTGGCAGCATCAATGTCCCTTTCACATCAGCATTTACTCCAGAAGGGGATCTCATCCAGTGCCCAGCAACTGCCACGCTCCAGAGCTTTAAAGGAAGAGTTGTGGTGATTGTAGGAAATGCAGTGAAGAACACAGCTGCTGTAAGTATATTGCTATAATGTATATTTTTATCTTTAGAGATACATCAATAGCATGCATACAATCAATAGTAAAATAAATGCAAGAGTCTGGAAAATATCAGTTAGGAATTTTGTGTATGATGACAGGATTTGGGDTGATGTTTTTGTTGTTACTCATTTCTGCTTATAGATAAAGACATGTCTCTTCAAGTGGTCCACATCTGAGAAGGTTGATGTTTTGAATTGAAATGAAATTACTTAACATTATCTTCTTCAGCTTTAAAATCTTTATTTTTGTCATGTCAGAGAAGTGACATTGGCACTTCTAATGTGCCTCCGTAGTAGCTTTCAAAATGGGCTTGCATTTACTTTCTGTGGTGTTTGGAAGGGCACACAATATAAGGTGGTTGGGGACAAATGTGTTATGAGTGAAAAGGAAATAAGATATAATTCATATTCCTACTAGTAAAAAAATGCTGTATTGCCCAGTATTTTAGAATCACTGCTTCCTACAGTTGTGCTTAGTGAAGAGGAAAATKATTCCTACTAGTAATTTTCGTATGATATATTTATTGTCAGTGCCTTTAGCTAGACAGGGAAAACATTCAAACTTCCTTATTCCTTTCTATAATTCATATTTAATGGTGCTGAGAACCACTAGAGTAACAAAAGTTCGTAAATATTTCTTTTGCTGTTCTCCCTCAGATGACATTATCTTAACTATGGTATACGTTCAGTTCACCGGTTTCTTAAGCCTGTTTACACAAAGGACATGAACTATAACCCTGAAATGACAAGGAGGGCTGTGAATCATTAAAAGGTCTTTATGTCAGGGACAGCAGAAGCATCAGCACGACACATGATGTTGATTTTAATACCTACAGGGAGTTATAAGTAAAGCAAGAAATCCCTTTCATTAACTATCATTTCATCATTTAGACAATTAACTTGTGATATGTATCAGGTTTCTTAAATAGTAACAGAGATGGCATGAAAGACACTGAAAACCATCTCTCACATAGTTTCGGTTAGTGAGTGTCTTTGTGTGTGAATCCAGATGAGTTCATGATAGATATTTCAGCATGAAATCAGACAACTTGAATAATCACAATTTCCCACTAATGCTGAATGTATAAATCCCCCCTCAAAGGAACAAATGCAAAATGCATAAAATGCTAAGAGCAAAATGGAGATTATTTGAATGATGCTTTACATGTTTGATGGTGGATTGTGCAGCTGTTTTCAACAGTTACATTTTAAATTATCAAACTTGCAAATTTCTCTCAGGAAGAGCCTAACCATTCACTAACCTCCTAAGGATGAAAAACAGGAAAAAGTGCGTGCTTTGGTGTTTGCTAGTGAATGTCTTTATGGAATATATTCCTACCAAGTCATGTCTGGCAATGGTTTTTCACAACCAGTCATAAMTGTTTTATCTGAAACAAAGGAACTCAAAACAATGAACAAACAACTTATAACAAATTTTTGGGGATGGAAAGTACAGTGCAGGTTGTCGGTTCCACCAAAGCTAAGAAGATACCATCTTCTCTTGTATTKGAGTGACAGTTCTGATGCAAAATTAGATTTTTTTTCTAATGTTTAAAAAAAACTTTTGAAATTAAAATTAAATTTCAAAACTTGAAATTAAATTGAAATATTTTCTGTGTAGCTAAAGAAATCTTGCAGAGTGCTTAGTAAGTGCAAATACTTCAGTCACATGAGAGGTGCTGTTTTATCCTCTAAACCTAGATTTTATGCAGTCAAGACAATGTTGACCCAGAATTGTCAATATTACAGCTTTCCATAAAGGAGAAATGCTGCTTTGCCTCCTGATTTGCTTTGAGGGTTCTTGAAATCCTAACTGAATAGTGTACAGCTTTAAAAAGCAACAAAATACTGGATTGGCCAGTCTGACCACACATTTATTAAATACTGAAGCCTAAATACTCATTGGGTCTGACCACCTCTATCACACCTTTAGAGCACATATAAAACCAGCCTCAGTYTGACTGTGTTGATAAAACCCTTTTTTTTTGTGGGTAGTTTTTTAAGGCCAGTTTCAATTTTACTCTGCATGGCTGCATAGAACTGCCTGCCACTCTTCATGCCAAAACTATGTAGCTTGAGGATTGACAAGAACAAAAATTGTTGCTTTTTAAATTTTGTTAGGTAATCAAATCATAGGAAAAAAATATAAAAGTGAATGCATGGAAACAAAACYAATTTCTGTCCATGTTATAAGATGYTCAACTTRAAATGTATCTTTTCTAAACAGAGTTATGTATTTCCAGATGAAATGGGATGAACCACAAATTGTACCCTCCACAATAAAGGACAGTTTTTCAGAAGTGTTCACTGATATTTACTTCACTAAAAATAAGGAGATTTGTGTTGTTATTTGTTTAGTTTAAATTTATATGGGACTGAGCAACAGGGAAAAAACACTGAAAGTTTATGGGGCTATTTGTAATTAGAAAGTTGAAGCTTTCAATTGTGCTTCATATTAGCAGCCTACTTAGCATCACTTSAAAATAATTTTTTWAAAAAAAGTTAAGTATACTGAACAGACATGTAGAAAAAGCCTTTTTGCACTTAATTTCTTTTTCTGTTTTTTGTATTTGATTTGGTGCCAGATGATAAAAAAATTAAATTGGAAAGAAAATGGTGTCAAGAATTTGAGATGTGAGAGGGAAAACTGAAAACCACAGCTAGTTAACAAAGCAGATATTTGTTAGTTCTGAAAACAGCAGGAAACCTCCACATATAAGGCATTATGCTGGAGTTCAGCAACCAAATTCTATTTTGATATTTCACTTTTAAATATGTTAAGTGGCAGTATCTMCTAAGTGAACTGAATTCCCCTTTCCCACCTGCATGGACAGATAAGCACCTTGTAAATTGCATTTTGGACAAGTGATCATTACAGTTGGGAATATAATAGTTTAATAGGCAATAAGTGTTCAGTTGTAGTTTCTTTTCTTGGTCTAGGACAGATAGCATGGCTCCTGGTTTTTTGTCACCTTCAAAGACAGATATGGCAAGTGAAAAGGTGGATTATAGTTATTCATATGTAGGACAGGGATTAGTTTGAGTATTTTTATGGAAGGGTAGCATTGCTTCATCTTCCCTCCTTCAGTCAGCTTTGAGGTGCTAMGCTATTATCTGTTTCCATTTCAAAATTTTCTCTGTATTATCACAATGTTGACTGAATTTTGAACAGGAGAAATACCCTCCTGACACTATATCRTTCTCCAGCAACTCAATTTTGACAGTGACGCACTTCTGTCACATGGGTGTTTAATAAATATGTGTTTCCCCCAGTGATTTAGTATGTGCTTTATTGTCAGCTAGTGCTATAACAGAATAAAATATGCAGGACACAATCTGTCTAATAAGTAGCAACTCATTTATATTTTGCCTTGGAAGAAAATAAGCTGTAAATCAAAGCTTAAAAGACATCTGTCTTTATAGATGGTAAATAAATTCTACATTGTAACTTCTAATTGTTACATTGATTATTTTTTGTCTAGGTAAGTTRTGCTGCTATAAATACATTGTCTAGACAACTTCTCCAAGTTGCTGAAACAAGGTAGTCATTCTTATTGCACTGGAATAGCTAATAGATAAAATACTTTGTCTCCAAAAAAAGACAAGAAGTTCTGATTTTCCATTAGATCTTTCTGACTCTTTTCAAGGCAAGAGAGAGAGGGTCAAATTCAAAATTCTTTTTGTAGAACRTATTCTTAGCTTGGAAAAATATTTTCTATATGAAAAAAAAACATATAGTATTTTCTCCCTCTTAGCACACTATCAAAAATGCATTTCTTCTTACATGAAAATGGAGACACATAGGTTAAAGTGTCCGGTTACCACTGAATTTTTGTGATTTTATTGTCATCTTCCTCTGGCTTTTTAAAAAGTCCTTGCCAGAGAAACAAGTCCTTGCATGATTTCTTCTGCTATAAACTTGTCTTAAAATTACAAATGGATACCTATGAAAYTTCATAGGATGATCTGAAGACTAAGTAATTTGTAGACTGCTAAAGGACAGGTGCCTTTGTGCTTCTAAAGGCAAATATATTTAGTTGGARGAGCCTAATAAAACTTGTAGAGTGAGTAAATAGAAATTATGCAATAAACTTCTGGAGATGTTTCCAATATATATCTTTCCTTGTAAATAATTCCTGCAGAAAAGTGRCTGAATGATTGAAATGAAAGCTCTTCTCTTCGCAGGGGTGGAGGGGCCCCTTATGATTCCCAGAACGGCTCTTTCATGTTTTTTTCTTAAGGTCCCATCTGTGTTCAGACTCAGAGTCTACTGGAATCATTAGAGCCTCCTTGTTCCCTTTAAATACAAAAAGACTAATCTTGTGTTTTGGAAAGTTTGAAAGGTTTAGTTAATCAGCAACAATCCTTCTGGTTGTAGCTCTCCCCAGTACATGGTTAAGTCTTCATTATTTTATTGCACAAATGTAGCCCTTTTTATTATTGTAACATGTAATGTATGCATGCTTTCCTTCATGGAGAGAAGGCAGCCCAGCCACTGTTGCCAGTTCAGACTCCTCACCCAGCCTGAGAGAGACACTTGGGCTGCCAGCCAGGAGTTGTGTTGAGCTGTTGGAATTCTGCTGCTGACCCTGGCTTTGGTTAGTTTGCATTGAATGCCTCAGTAATTCTCACCTGCCTTAGGCAGTGATGACCTAAATATCTCACTGTTCCAGCCAGTTGTGAAAGAGGAAAGGGTAAAATGAAAGATGGAGGCTTAGATGCAGAATTTGAGTGTTTCTTTTCCTCTTCAGAAGTAAGTACCCAGAAAAAGGGTCTAATTCTAAAACTCCAAAACAGGTTCTCTTTTTTAATTTTTACTGAGACTGATGGTAGCAGTCATTGGAAATTTTAGTTATTCCTTTGATGTAGATGTTGTTTGGCCTGTCTGTGTGCTTTGCTACACAGACGTTTGGATACTTCTGGAATGAGGAATTGTGGAGCCTCTGGCTTTACCTRTAAAAATATGTCTGAGA